GCTTTGTAGCCTTGAGCAGAGGCCACAGCCATCCAGGGCAGGCAGGAAGCTTGGCTTCCTCCATCGCCGGGGGCAACCTAAGCCTCCTGCTCACTCCAGCTCCGTGGCCGCTGCCATCTTAGTTGAGTTAATTTGAATAGTCACTCCTGATTGGCTGGTGGGCGTGGCTGGTGGTGTAGTGGAGGTATGGTCAATTTGCATGTTTCTCTTTTATTAGATTAGATGTACTAACATTTTAAAAGTTTGCTTATTTCTACTATACCTTTCTTCAATAAAGAAGGCAGTTTGCAAGGATAATCCTATATAATAAAGAGGTATTATGCAAACTGACTGCCACACCCTCACACAAAATAGCTGCTCCCATGTGGTCACAAGATGGCTGCCACAAGATGGCCTGCAGGGGAGGGCAGTTGGGGGTGACCAGGTCTTCAGGGGAGGGCAGTTGGGGGGGTACCAGGCCTGCAGGGGAGGGCATTTTGGGGGCAACCAGGCCTGCAGGGAGAGCAGTTAGGGGCGATCGGGCCCATAGAGGAGCAGTTAGGCGTTGATCAGGCCGGCAGGGTAATGGTTAGGGGCTGATCAGGCTGGCAGGCAGAAGCAGTTAGGGACAATCAGGTAGGCAGGCAGGCAAGCGGTTGGGAGCCAGCAGTCCTGGATTGTGAGAGGGACCCCCGAGGGGTCCCAGATTGGAGAGGGTGCAGGCTGGGCTGAGGGACACCCCTTCTCTCCCCCACCCCCACCCAGCACACAAATTTTGTTCACTGGGCCTCTAGTGTAAAATATAACCAGAGAATATAAAGTGACATTGTTGGGAGTGGATCTTGAGGAAATAAGGGCATGGGTCAGGTTGAGTTATAAGGATGTTTACAGAAAGGTGTTGTTAAGGTTAAAAATCAGAAACTGGCCAAATGTCTCAAAATTTGGTTAAATCAACAGTGCTACTTTCATGCAGTAAAAAACTCTGGATCACTAAAAATGCAGTGGAAATATATTTATTGACACCCAAGGTTTTGGTTATATGTAGTAAGTGAAAAGTGCAGGTTCTAAAACAGCCTGCCAAGCATGAACCCATTCTGGGGGTGGCGGGGAGAGGGGAGAGCCGTGCCAGCCCAGCTATCTTTATGTTGTCTCTCTGCTGTTTTTGCCACCTTCTTTTGATTTATCTGTTTTCCACAACTGCAGTTTCTAAGTTTTTAAAAGTAGGTATAACTAAGCCAAAACCGGTTTGGCTCAGTGGATAGAGCGTCAGCCTGCGGACTGAGAGGTCCCAGGTTTGATTCCGGTCAGGGGCATGTACCTGGGTTGCGGGCACATCCCCGGTGGTGGATGTGTAGGAGGCAGCTGATCGATGTTTCTCTCTCATCGATGTTTCTAACTCTCTCTATCTCTCTCCCTTCCTCTCTGTGAAAAATCAATAAAATATATTTTAAAAAAAATAAATAAAAGTAGGTATAACTAAGATAATTTTTCAACAGGCATTTTGAAATCTTTTTATTTAACCAGTTAATTGCCACAATATTTTGAATTTAATTTATAAAGGTCTGCTGCTTGCGTCTGTAGACACTTATGGCATACAAATGGTTAAAAATAAAAGAATCAGATATAAGAGTTCCAGGGTTAACAAAAGTAGAGGCATAAATGTGGAGCCAAAAGTGAGTTCAAAACAGAACCCTCCGGCACCTTCATATACTTGCCTGCGGTGGGCCACCTGTCTGCTGCTCAGTTTTCAGCAGCCAGAACAAAGAGAGAAACCTAATCATTTAAAACCCTTCACAGAGAGTGTGATAGATGCATACCCATAGCTCAGGAGGATGACTCTTTCTGATGTGAAGCCAGAAAATATACAGGATAAGTGGTGGGGAAAAGGAGGGTCACCAACTGGATTGGTCTCTTAGCTTCTGCTTCCGAAAATGATGTTTTAACTTCTGAGAAAGTTTTCATTTAGCACCAAGAGGGCATAAAGGCAGTGAGTTAAAAGCCATTTTTATATAAATGCATGAAGGAAGTGGCTATTTCCTTACTGCAGTGCATGTATGTACATACATATTTGTGGTGACCAGGGATGACCAGACCTCCCGTGCTGTCTGGGGTTCATTAATCATTGCCTAGTGGGAGTCGGGATTGTGTCAAATTCCAGGAAAGCACAAGGACAAAAGAAAGAGATAACACTTCAGAAAGGAGAAGCCCTTCAAGCCACCCCATCACTGAATAATGGTTCTGCTACTGAGTAACCTGGGGCCCATTCCTTAGTTTTTGACCAGCGTCTCCTGGCCATGAACCATGCGGGATCATGCCATGCTTTTATAGATCTGTTTTAGCTGTGGAGGCCCCTCATTCCAGACCACTTGCTTTTATTCATGAGTTCCATTTCTAGATAGGTGTTGTAGAATCAGCATTTTCCCACGTTTCTTTCAGGAAATTTTGTTTTGACTCCAAAGTAGTGGCTCTATCAGAGTATAATTCACTGTATTATCCATTCTATTCTATCACATATCATATACTGATCTGGGTGCTGGGGATACAATGGTGAGGAAGACAGAATCACTGTACTATGAGTTTACATTGTAGGTGGGGGGAGAGAGATAGACAAGAAACCCAAAAAAGATAATTTTAGGTATTAGCTGCTATAAAGAAAAAAAAAAAAAACAGGGCCAGGTCCTGGCCAGTAGTGTTGGAATGGGATGCATTGAAGAGGTTGTGTTTAAGCTGAGACCTGAATGATGGAAAAATCTAGGAAAGAAGGATTGCAGGTGGAAAAAAGGCTGTGATTGGGGGCCTGAGCTTGATTTGCTGGAGTAACAGGAAGGCCTGTGTGGCTGGAGCAGAGTGGAATGGTTGATGCTAGGGTCAGGGATAGGCCTGAGCTCAGTGATGTAGGACCTTGTAAGCACAGTAAGGTTTGATTGTGATCTAAATGCAATGGGAAACTACTGGAAGGTTTATAAGAAAAGACATGGTTTGAACTGATTTACGTTTTGAGAAGTTCTCTTTGTCTAGTGGTTGAAAATGGACCTCAGGAGAAAACAGGAAGTGGGAGAAAGGTATCAAATATGATGGGCATAGGACTAACAGGAGAAAAGTCATTTTACATCACTTGGTCTGAATTGTCCCCTTTGGTAAATGATACAGTGATGATCTCATCTTTGTATTTATGTGAAAAGTACTGAGGTGGGTTAGTTTTGGGTTTTTTGTTTGGGTGTTTGAAGGTAAACCCCTTCTAGTTCAGTTGCACATTTCCTTGGGTTGAATGAAGGTGGTCCTTCTTTTATTATATAATGAATATTTACATTACAAAAGAATGGGTTTTCTAATTTCTCAGTCTTGGCAAACATTCTCCAAAATTAAAAATGTCTTTGCCTTACAGCTCAATATTTTCATTCTCTCTGTGAAAATAAATTGTGAAGTATGAATTTTTTATCATGTAATTTTTGGCTTTCTAAATTAAAAAATTGGTTAACTTATCTATTTAAAAGTATATATTTTGCATCTTTCAAAACTCTTCAGATGCTGCTTTTGGCAACAGAAGAGAAAGGTTCCTTTCCCTTCTGATTACTGAACTAACATGAGGGCTGAAGTGTGCAGCACACCCGTGAAATCCTAGACAGCTGTACCAATCTCACTCCTTCGTTAAGAGCAGAGCTGAGTGACAGGGGACTTTAATTAGAGAGGCTTTTAGAAGGAACGAGAAAATAAAAACAGTGCTTTTGGCTGGGTTGGCTTGACTTGTGTTTTGATGTACCTCTAATTAAATCATCACTGTTTCTCTTCTCAGGTATTAATGAGCAGGGGCTCTACCGAATCGTGGGGGTCAATTCCAGAGTGCAGAAGTTGCTGAGTGTCCTGATGGGTGAGTGCAGCTCTGGCTCTGCCAGACAGGCCCCTGAAAAGTCACCAGGTCCCTGAATATGGACAGCCTAGGTGGCTCATGTGACCACCACACCCTACTCTGTCTTTAATAGCTCATGACTCCCTCTGTCCTGTTTGGAGACAAGAGCATTTAGTGGCACACCCAGGGCCTGAGGAAAGATATCCCTCTAGCTTACAAAGGACCTCTGGTCTCATGTTCCCTGTTAAAGAGAAGGGGTCATGTGGTGCCCAGATAAAATGTATATAAGCAGATAGAGTTGATTCTCTTTGTG